CGGCTTGCCTGGGCTTGCCTGTTCCAGAAGCAGCATGCCTTTTAAATTGGCCGACCGTACCGCCTACCTAGCTGGCCGACGCCGACGACGACGCCGACGACGACGACGCCATTGCCACTGCCACTGCTGAATGGTTGCCGGTTGCACTTGACTCGCGCCGCATGCCGCATGCCGCATGCGGCATGAACGAGCGACCCAAAACCCAATGAGCGCATTTTCAATTTTATGCTAATTAGTTTGGATTTTAGCCAGAGAGTTGTGCGATCGTTCGCGTTTGGACCAGGTGAGAGCGCCCGCAGTGGCATAACCAAAGCCATTCAGCATAAATGTAAACGCCTCGAACGCCACCTGAACGTGCCTCAAATGAATGACTGCCGCTTACGCCCGTTTATACCTTAGTTGGCCACAAATTGAGGCCTCTTCATTTGAATGCCTCTAGCCCAATCTACCAATTGGCAAAGGATTTGCCAGCAGACTAAGCTCCTTCGATCTCTAATGCATCCGAATCAAAAACTATTCCCAAATAACTTCAGCTGGCAGAAACTCAACACTTGATCACAAGCAAATGGCATTTATTTTGATGGGCAATCTTCTAATTCATAGAGATTATAATAATGAATCAAACTGAAGATATTACAAGTAGCCAAAGTAGTAAATATTTTCTATAAGACGAGCGAGTATTACCCCGCTTTGCTCGGGTCAAGTTTTTAGTCATAAAGTATATATATATTCCAGATTAGCATCAACAGCCGAGTTAATATAGTCAAGTCTGTCTATCCCTCTGGCTGTTTCTATGCCAACTAGTCTCTCAGTTTTAAAGCTATCGTCTTGAAACATTGCAAAGGTCCACATTTTTTTACACGCAGTACATATGTCTCAACCAGCCGGATCGGCTAACTATATCATATTGCAGCAATTGGAACGATCGGTCCAAAAGTAGTTTCTTGTATGGACAACTTCTTTGTGTTTTTTTCATCAAACTCAACATTTGCGAGCTTCACTCTTGGCAAATGTCCACAAAGGTATTAAATACTCAGAGTTCCGAAGATATCCTTACTTTATTTATTTACATTTTATACAATACTTTTTAAGTCCCTTCATGCTCGAGCGAAATTTATATGAATTTACTGCAGCTATTGACAATGAATTTGAGCTCGATTTTCCACTAATTTTTTTTTCCGCTAATTTTCCACGCTTGCGGGTGAAACACATAAGAGAATTATAGTAAGAATTATAGCCTTATAGCTTATGAGGTTAGAACAGTGCGTTTATCATCAGTCAGTCAGTCAGTCAGTCAATCAGTCAGTCAGTCAGTCAGTCAGTCAGTCAGTCAGTCAATCAATTAGTCAGTCAGTCAGTCAGATAGTCGGTAGGTCAGTTTGGAAAAACACTTTGACATACTTTATAGAGATTAGAATTTAAGAACTTTGAAAAATATATAAATATATAAAAAATAAATAATATATATGAGGTCTTATACTGTCGTGTAATATATTAAGACTGTGCAGTTGCGCCCACTTTGGGCGTGGCAGATAGCGAAATTATATATGACGAAATATATGTCCACAGTTAGAGCTGCAGAGTAGGCAACTTTGTATGCAGACTACTTTTAGACTGCTCTTAAGATCAATCCAAAAATATTGGAAATTGGAAAAACAAAAATATATAAAAAGAATCTAGCGATAAATATATAATATATAAGATACTCTTGAGCTCCTTTAGAAGAGAGCTTTTTCTGTAGACTAATTATATATATATATTTATTTTTTTTTTTGAATTCCATGATCTGGATAATTGCTTATAGAGCAATCCTTCAATAATAGAAATTTTCAATGAAATATATTATTTTTTGTTGGCGTTTAAAGATGAAGAGCCTGTGAATTCCCTGTGAATACTGTCCATATTGCGCTGGAAGGCCCAAAGCAACAGCAACTTTAATTGAACCCAATGAAAATTATGGACAAGCAAATTTTCCCACAGATTGCCAAAGGTTTAACAATACTTTTTTTTTTTCTTCTCTCATTTTTGTTGCTGTTGTTGTTTTGTTTTTTGAACGTAATGAGCCTTTAAGTCAAACGTAGACCTGACAGCTTCAATGGCTTAAACGTAGCACAGAAGCTGCAACTAACCACAAATCACAATAACACCCATACCACACACACACACACACACGCACACACACACAGACACAGACAGACAGGGAGTACATCGTCTAGAGGCTTGATCTGTAGCCCAAAACCGAGGGAACGCATAATCATTATCACTCAAATTGGGGCCCCCTTGCAATTGGTATATGTGTGTATGTGGCGTGCTCTCGGCCCGACCAGAGACCAATTATATATCGAAAGCCAAAGACGAGAACCAAAGTTCTGAGGCGAACTGAAGATCATATGATCAGCATATTCGCATATGCATATGAGCTGGTCGCTAAGATACTTTGCATTGTGTTGGCCCCGGCACTTAAACGGTCTACGTACCATGAAAATGGGCAGGTCCGGTCCATCGAAAATCCCAATTCGAGTACCGTAACTTAAGCCCATGAATTAAGCGGCCACAGCAGTTGATGAGAACCAAGCTGTAGCCAAAGCCAAAGCCGAAGCCGAAGCTGAGGCTGAAGCTGAAGCTAAAGCTGAAAAAAACCAAAGCCAAAACCGAAATGGAATCAATGTCCAGAGAGACGATGACCACCACGACTCCGCAATGTGGGATTCAAATTTCGCACGGGCAAACTCGTACATATGTACACTGAGAGAAAACTTTGGGCATTCCCTAAGCCCGATCTTCAAAATACGATAATATCGCTTTTGCTTGATCTAGGTTTGATTTTCAAGTACGATCAATACATATTCTTCTAACTCTTTGGCCTCGTTGAGCTGCAATTTTTGAAAATATTTCAATTTTTACTCGAATCAAGAACTTATATATTTTTTCTATGATATGTCAATATTGGAATTTTGTACTTTATTTTTTCCTCAATATTTTATCTCAATATTTAAATGTCTTACTTCTTTCCCAAATTTTTATATTTTATTCTAAAACATTCAATATTTCAATTTTTACTTGATTCAAGAATTTATACATTTTTTTCGATTTTTTCTTAAAGAATTTTTCTGTTCTTTTTAAGATTTGCAAATATTTTAATTTTTTTTACTTGATTCGAGAATTTATATTTATTTTTCCTAAGATTTAAATTTTTACTTCATTCCAGAATTCATATATTTTTTCTAAGATTTGTAAATATTTAAATTTTTTTACTTGATTCAAGAATTGAAATATTTTTTTCTAAGCTATGCCAATATTTACATTTTTTTCCAGGTTCAAGAATTTTTCATTAATTTTTAAATTCTTCCAATAAATTATAGAATATTTCAAATATATGCCATTAAGGACTTTTCTAATATTAAGTAAGGATTTACTTAATAATCTAGTTTTTAGCTGGATTTAGGGTCAAAACCTTAAAAACTTCTTATTAAGGAATCAAATTTTTCACCTTTTTTTTATCAATCTGTTTTCAGCTAAGCTTTTTCTCTCTGTGTATGCGTGTGTGTGTGTGTGCCAAGCGAGTGGCGGGGCCATGTTTATAACATAGATGATAAGTGGGCTTCTGGACGGGAACATAGACTAGCGCCTCGAGATTAATAATAAGTACATTCGCTTCTGGCCACATCATTTTGCCCCGCGGCAAATTATAGCCCACGGGCGCTGATATTGATGCTGAAAGATGGTTTTTGCTTCTGCTCGCCTGTTCATATCAATCGCTTACATATACTATGATAAACAACTGTACATATTGTTTCTATGCCCCATTCAGTTGCTAAAGATTATATATACATATATAAGATTTCAGCCGATCTTTCCCATAGACAAAATATGAATGATAAGCTATCAATTTCAATATTTTGTTTTCCAAACAATCGACTTCCATCTCGTTTTAATCAACATATGTAAAATGTACAAATCCCCTCGATTGCGTGTTTATGCGAATTTAAAGTAGTGGAAGATTCAAATTGTGCCAGGAGCAAGGACTTGAAAGATTTTATCTTGCCCCTGGCAAGGCCGGGTAGTCCTTATAACCTTGTTAGTATGTATGTATTTGTGTTCCCTTATACCAAACGCAGAACAAGTTCAACATCTCTTTTTTAACAATTGCCCCCGCTGAGCAGCAAATTTATAAAAAAAATCAACCCTTTTTAAAAAATTGACCTTCTATGCGATTCTCATGAATTCAAGTTAGTTCACAGGTTTCAGCTTTTCTAGCTTTGTCTGCTTAGTGTGTTTATATAAGCATGTAATTGTATATGTACATGCATGTATGTAAGAGTGTGTGTATGTATAAAAATCTGTTGTCTGATCCCAGACGCACATAAAATTTACTTCCGTGCATTTTCAAATATTGCTTTACTCTGCGATTCTCATGAATTCAAGTAAGTCTTATACCCTTTCACGGTAAGTTATAAATGTTCTTTTGACAAGTTTTGGTGGCAGTCTCTCCTTTCTCTTACTCTTTCGATCCCTGTCTCACTCTCGTGATTTTAATGTATATAAAAGAGTCTGTCTCCTTTCTACTTACAGATCACAACATAATGTATGTCTTTATATAAGAATTTGTCGTAAGAGTATCCTGCCCTGAGCATTATCTTCTCCTACATACTTATATAGACCGTAAATATCATATTCTTCAACCGTAATCGTAAGCAACAACCCTTTACGAGCTTAAAAGCTTACAGATTATCAAAAACACACACCAAACTGGCACCATCTATTGAGGTGCTTCATCAACTGCCGCATAGCTAATGCACACACTCACGTGCTTTAAAGCTACCCTCTAGCTAAGACACGCATCACCGTACAACGCAGACTTAACGAAACGCTTACTCACCCAACGAACGGGTCTACCTTAACGAATATGCGAAAGTCAACGAAACGTTGCCACTGTTAGTTTACAGGCTCGGTCGTCAGATTCAAAATACATGCGACTTTCGTGGTGAACGGACGTGTTTTTTTTTTGCTGTTCTGTTGCCTTTGCCCCAAGTACTCGAGCTCTGAGTACACGCTTAGTGCGCGTCGTAGATTGTGTTTATTGTTGTGAGTACTGCTGGCTGTTGTTGTCAGTGTTGTTGTTGTTGTTGTTGTTGTCGTTTTGGTAATTGCCACACACACACACACACACGCACAGCTAAACAGTCATGAGTTGGAATCGGTGCGCGCGGCCGTGTGTGTGACTGTGTTTGTTTGTATCGCAACTGCATCTGTATTGTTCCAACCCGACGTGCACAACGTATTTTCGTTACGGTAATATTCGTACATATTGTACTATTTTCTTTCAATTGTTTTTTCTCGTTTGTGTTGTATTTGTTTTTGTAATCATGAAATGTTATTAGAAATTGACGACAAGACACGCTAAATTAATAACACAGCCCATACGTGACGTGTGTGTGTGTGTGTGTGTGTGTGTAGTGTTAAATGTATCTGTATCTGCAGCCGTGCATCCGCAGCAAGCGGCTGTGCTTAAGCAAGAGTTTGAATGAGACCAAGTTGGATGATTCTTATTGGATTGTTGTTGTTGTTGTTGCTGCCGCTGCTGCCGCTGTTGCGTTGCCGGTGAATGAACCCAACCGAAAAAACGCACAACAAACGTATGCGACGCTTATGTACAATATGTATGTGTGTGTGTGTGTGACCACAAAATGGTGGTAGAAGGTAGCAGCACTAAGCAACATTTCTCGAAATATTAACCCAACTGTGCACAACGGCATAAAGCCTCGAACAGCAACAGCAACTACAACAATAACAATAGCAACAACAACGAAAGGGAAGTAAAGAAAGAGCCAAACGAGCAAAATGCGTCCAACGTTTTGTTTAATGTCTTTTTCACAGTTGCTTTTATTGTTACAGCAACAATAATTAACATTTAAATACTGTCGCGCTCTCTCTCTCTCTCTCTTACTTCCTCTCCAGTTAGAACACACACACACACACACACATTGATAATTGTTATCTTATCAGGGCAGTTTTAATCTTTGGCAATCTGTTGCCTGCCATTGGCAACATTTGCGCGCAGCAAAAGCAACAACAAGAACAGTGCTGCCAAAACAGCTGCATTTGAAATGAGCTGACTAACTAACCGCCATATTAATACACATGCAGCATTTAAATATGCATATACACACACACACACACACGCACACACACATTCACATAGCTTATTTACTTTGGGGGCCTGCATGCTACATGCATTACTCACGAGCTTTTTGCGTGTGCCATATCCGATAGCCGAGATACCGGTTTAAGGTCTTAAGGATTCGCAACTCGATGCCGCATGCAGAGGGGTGCGCCAAAAAGCGCTCTCTGCCGCGTCTGCCGCTGCTGTTGCGTCTTCTTCTTCTTCTTCTTCTTCTTCTTCTTCTTCAGCTGCTGCTGCTGCTTAGTCGGCTTCTTTTGCCTGTGCAGTGCTGCCAAGTTTGAGCGGGCGAAAGTTCAAGCTAGTTCTAGCAGTTAGGCAGTTAAGCAGCCAAAGCTATATTTGTTTTATTTTTGTAATTGCCGAAAATACGACATTTTATATATCGTATTTATATCGGTTTTATGTCGTACCTATATCGTGTGTTAATCGATTATATATCGTATTTATATTGCTTTATATCGAAGTAATATCGGTTTCATATAGTTTTTATATCGATTTTATATCGTTTTTATATCGTATTTATATCGGTTTTATATCGTATATAATTATACCTTTTTATGTATCGAATTTATATCGGTCTTATATCGTATTTATATCTTTTTAAATACCGTATTTATTTCATTTTCATATCGTTTTTGTGTCGGTTTTATATCGTATTTATAAGGTTTTTATATCGTATTTATTCGAAATCTCACAAGCTGAGCACTAATAGTATTTTAGTTTGTAATTAACCAGTTCCCACATCAAAAATAACCCTCCTATCTACTTATTTATACATGCGCAATGTCATCTAAGTAAAACAAAAGTGTTGGGAAACGTTATATGTAATCAAAATTGATTGCACCTTATTAACCAGCAGATTAACTGACCTCTTCTATCGGTATGTTGTTTAAAAAAGAAACTAAAACTAGAAATATTGTTTCAAAAAGCTTCTAAATTTAAGTTGTTTCGAATAAAATATTATTTATAATACTTTCATTTTGCTGACATAAGTCAATACGGCCCATATTTAAAAAAATCAAAATTTTCTTTAAATAAATCAAATTCAATCATATATCTCATAGAGTATGCAAATTCCAAGCTTTTTCATCTATAAAAACCAAACGACGAAAGATATTTGAAATTGTATTACGCGCTCCCAAATGGCCAGCTTTGGCGAAATGGGCAGCACTGGCCACAGCCTCTTAGCGCTTCGCAAACGAATCAGTTAAAAGTTCAGTCTGAAATTAAAGTTCGGCGCAATCATATGAGAATATTTGTGAACACAGCTGTACTGAGTGTTACGAGTATACAAATGTGTGTACGAGCACAAATTGAAAAGAATACTACGAATTGAAATGCCACGAAACGTTATCAAAGGCACTATCACATTGTCAAGGTGAATCTGCTGTGTAATCTAAGTGGTGCATACTTATGTAGATATGCCGAAAAAAAAAAAACAAAACAAAAACAACAACAACAACAAAATGATGATGATTTATGGGCAAGGCGGCAACCTTCGCTGCATGGAACTCATATACGACTATATGAGTATATATATTTATATATACTTATATTTATGTATATATATAAGTAGATTTACTGTACTCTTCAGTTACATAGAAGTGTGTACATAAATTTGACTAAAAGCTAAATGCCGGGAAAAGTCACACAAAGCGTTTTTTTTTTTTTTGTACTTTTTACTTTTTGTTCGTACCTCTTTATTCGCTTCTCTTTTTTTTTCTTTTTTTTTTTTGTGTACCTCCATTGTTCAGGTTTTTGTTACTTCTGGAAATCTTGCATAACTTGGTAGGTACACACACAGCGAAAAGAAAACTAAATAAAATATAATAATAATATGTACAAGCGCACAAAATCAAATAATAACCCGACTGTGTCGTATACATATATGTATGTATATTTGTATATATGTATGTATGTATGTAATCAGCATGAAACTATGTGTAGATTGTATAATTTGGTGTATGGGCGGCTGCTGTAATCGCCAGTAATCATTTAAGCCGGCGCCCATAGACAGCTACCGAAGCACACGACACACAAACACATATATATGTATGTACATATATTTATACATATTTAAATATATATGTATGTATGTATGTGGCTGTCCGTTCAACACAAAGCGCTGTGTGCAAGCATCTGTGTAATCGTAATTGTCAGCTACGATATCTGACTACCCTTTACGATACGATTTATATACGATATGCAAAAGGCGCACAGCACAGGCTGTGGATTGGCGGGTGAAGGGGGGCACATTTAAAAGCTGGGTTAGTAGTTCACCTGTTGATTGCATTGTCGGTCGCGACCGCACAGTGAGTGAAATTTGATACACACACATACACACACACACACGGAATTATCAATTTAACGGCGCTTTTGCAACTGCAATTGCACAAGCTATGCAAAAAGAAAAGGCACACTCACACACATACCGTCACTTTAACCTCACTTCAATTAAGCTGGCCGTGACGTCACAAGGCAATATAAGTATGTATGTATATACACTTAGTTTCAGATTAAACCAAATAGCACATATCGCATATTGTTACTGACATCTGCCCGTACAGTGGCCACACGATGACGTGACCAACTTTATGGAAGCTAATCACTGAAACTGCCACCATTTACGGTCCGGCCATTAAATCAATCAATATCGCAGCCAACTAAACGCTTGGCACTAAAGTTGAAGACATCCTAACATTGATGTGCCTATGACATTGTCACGCATCTCTCAAAGTCACAATTAATGCGATACATTTTGGGCTTGGGAGCCGGGCACAGTGCTTCACACAGTGCGTCAAAACAAATGACAACACGAGAGTTCACATATTTAACTATATGAGAGTTCTATGAGATAGACTCAATATGGAGGGGCCTCATAATAGCAGCCATACTGGAATTTAGTTAGGATATTCTCCCATCACATAGCACAAACATGTTTTTGATTAGAGCAAAAATAAATCATTGCAAGCAACATAGCTCGAACTATTCATTATCTTGTCCCATTTCACATGTTTCGAAAGAGACAATAAAAATGAATCAATTCCGATCGTCCAACATTTTTATTGTTCGCAATTCCAACAAAAATTGGCAGAACTCGGTAGTAATTTAGGCAACTGTACGGTTCGAATCCCCGGCTATAATGTAGTATTGGGAAAAAACTGTTTTTCAACACTGGAAATAAGTTTAGCTGCTCTCTTCTATACCTGATTCTGATACTGTTTAACTGATTCCATTTGAAATTGGTTTTGTAAATCTATAAAGAATATTTTGAGGCTCAATCTCTGCTTAAAGAATTTACCAAATTTTGCAACTTAAACTAGGTTAAGTACGTCGACAATTCTCAGTTTTATATGCAAATTGCGATTGCGTTTTCGATTGCTTAAATTCGCTCGACTAATTCCACAAGCAATTGAACTTAATTAAAAGTGCATAGAATGCAATGGAATTGTCTGCGTATTTCTGAGAAAACCCTATGCCAGCAGGTCCGCTCGTTTCTAATGGACTCAGCCGAATGTGATTGGCCTTAAATGTGTTTCCATCTCAAATTTGTAAAACTTTTAAAACTACCGACGTGCTTCTTCTTTCATTTTTTTACTATGTGTAATATTAGGAAACGCTATTCAAGAAATTCAATTCATGTTCTCAATCGCATTCGTATATGGCATGCAATATGCACGAGGACTGCTTATTTATAATTCCAGTCTCGACTTTCTCATAATGCATCAAATCGCAATATACAAACAATATCGAAGAGGGCTCCATTCATAACTCTATGCAATTTGCCAGTTGTAAACACATTGCGCACTGTTCGAGTTACAATCAGCGTTGTCGCCAGCGAGTCTTTACTGTAGACACCGCGGCATAGCGGCCACTTAGTGGGTCAATCCCCGGAGACGGGGGCAGCCACTGTCATTGCTGTGGCGTCATCTTTTAACAATTAATCGATGCCAAAAAGTCGCCGCTCGCATTAGAATAAAGTAATCGGAATGGTTTGACATACGCTGCAATTGCCTGAGCCGCATATACATATGTGCGCATGTATGCGTGCACATATGTCACATATGTCACATATGTATGTCGCTTAGAATATGGAATTGTAAGGTCA